CGTCTGCCATTATTTCTGATGTGGCGAGCCCGTCCCTAGACAGCTGGGTGCGGGGCGTAGTCATCTGAAGTCAAGCCTAGCGCCGAGAGGGCAGCGCATAGGATCCTGGAGAAATCCCGCCTGGTGACAGGAGCGCTTGTAGGATCTGTGCTTGTAGGATCCGAAGAGTGTTGATTCCTGACCATGTAGCGATACCTGGTCCAGTCGGAGCGTGCGACGATTTTTTGTCGCGTAGCTCACCTCCCCCGGGCTGAAAGATATAAGGCAGTAAGGGTGGGCAGAAGCGGCGTGCAGTGTTATCGTGACAGGCAAGAGCACAGACGAGGGGGAAACCCTAGCTGAATCAATACAGAGACGAAAAACGGGGGAGGGAGCCCGGCAGCAGGAATTAAGAGAAACCTTAATTAACAATCCTGGATGAATAAAGAGCATCCGAGTAATTATACTGTAGCAATGAAGGGGGCTAACAATTCTAAGAATCTTCCAGCAAACGGAAGGGGGAAGTACCTTTGCTAAGAGCAAAGGTGGGAGAAAACCAGTAGGAGAACAGCAAGGAAGCACAAAGCAACTATAACAGGGTAATACGAAACACTATAAATCTTGAATATAAACAATACATATACCAAGAACGGGTATAACAACTAAGCAACATATACATAAACAATAAAATGGAATAAGAACCAATTCTTAAAGCCAAATCTATAACATGCTTGTGTCCTAAGCGGATGTAGAATGTGAGCGGGGAACATTACCCTTGGTCTCTATCCCATCTCTGCCTCCAGACGGGTGATTGGGCTGGATAGAAGCCAAGGAGTCTGCCTAAGTGGCCGCTGAGTGTAGTCTTGTGTTGTCAATGAGCGTCTGCGAGCCGCAGCTAGTACGCCGTGAACTTCGGCAACATCTTTAGAACAGGAGCAAAGTGAAATCGACGGCAGGGAGCTGCCATTCAGTAACTGTAATAAGGATAATAATAAGAATACAATGTCGTAAATAATCGTACAATGAAGAAAACAATGTAATATCGTAAATAACCGATGACGGCAAGTGCCGCAGAATGGAAGAAATTAAGAAAGCAACGCCAAACCATAATAACAATTTATATTTTAATAAAATAATACTGGAATAACAGTAACGATACGGAATAATATTAATACTGCCATATAGCCCAGCAAATAAAGGGAAGATAATAGTATTAACGTAGGCCCTGGGCGGCTGCATCCCGGCACCGCTGCGTGCGTTGTAATGGTGATCAGAGGAATATCCGGCTCGCGTTCTCTTCCTCGCCGCAGTAGGGTGAGGAGGGGGGGGGGTTTCCGGCTTGTCGTGGCTGCAAATAAAGGGATCAGAAGAAGCCGGCGTTGAGCGCCAAGCGGGCAGAGCGCGGTGGAAGGAATAGCGGTTGGAGGTAAGGGCCCCTAACCTAATGATAGATGAGGTAAAGTTTAATAGAATACTATTACGTAGTAGGAAACAGCAATGGCGAAGGAACAAGAAGAGTAAAATAGCCCAGCAGGCCGGATGGCCAAAGAACGTTAGCGACCGTATGGCCAACAGCATGCTGGCTGCTGCTGGCCAACAACATGCTGTCTGCTGCTGGCCAACAACATGCTGGCCGTCATCATGCTAACTGACTGGCATGAGCTTGCCGAAGGAAGGCCGAATGGCCAGTTTTTACATGACACCGTGCGCGGCCATGCTAAACTCGGTAGCATTCCAAATGTATCTCAATGTACTGTCGATACGATGAAGAAAGGGTGGTCAAATATAATGCGCGATATTTAGAATATAAAGAGGGAAACGAGTGTAATAGGACGAAATAACCGGTGGAAAAAAAAAAAATTGTGGGGGGGGGGCCACCCGAATGCACTGCAACTAGCGTACCCTAGCTGAAAATAACTTAAAGGCACAGAGGCAAAGCAATAGATTAATACAAATCCTAATTGATAGTCCCTTAATAACAAATTGAACGTGAAACTTAAACAAAGAGTAAATTGCGGGAGAAAAATTTGTTCGAATAAATACAAATCAAATTGCGAGTCCAACAATAACAAAATTAACAGACACGCAGACGTAGGAGGAACCAAGGGGACGTTTCGCACAGGCGAGCCCGCACGGCTGGGGGGGGGGGCGGAAATGACAGAGGGCCGAAGAGAAGAATAACGTCGCCGAGGCGCGCTGGACGGCACACAACCCGGTCTGAGAAAGGACATAGGCCCAAAAGCGAGAGGCGATAACGTAGAATGGGGTGGAAGAATGCGGAAGTAAGCGGGCGAGACCGAGTAAACAGGGACCCGGGGGGGGGGGGGGGCAACCGATAAGCCGCGGCTCGCGCACCGCTAGCCATACCTAGACATGCCTAGACAGGAGGGGGAGAAGCATAAAGGTAACCCAGCAAAAGACTAGTAATTAGTAATTAGTAACTCTGCAAATAGCACATCCTGGCTGACTTTACTTAATAATTTACTTAGTAACTCTGCAAATAGCACATCCTGGCTGACTTTACTTAATAATTTACTTAGTAACTCTGCAAATAGCACATCCTGGCTGACTTTACTTAATAATCTACTTAGGAACTCTGCAAACAGCACATTCTGGCTGACTCTACTTAATAATTACATAGTAACTCTGCAAATAGCACATCCTGGCTGACTTTACTTAATAATTTAATTAGTAACTCTGCAAATAGCACATCCTGGCTGACTTTACTTAATTTACTTAGTAACTGCAAATAGCACATCCTGGCTGACTTTACTTAATAATTTACTTAGGAACTCTGCAAATAGCACATCCTGGCTGACTTTACTTAATAATTTACTTAGTAACTCTGCAAATAGCACATCCTGGCTGACTTTACTTAATAATTTACTTAGGAACTCTGCAAACAGCACATCCTGGCTAACTCTACTTAATAATTACATAGTAACTCCGCAAATAGCACATCCTGGCTGACTTTACTTAATAATTTAATTAGTAACTCTGCAAATAGCACATCCTGGCTGACTTTACTTAATAATTTACTTAGTAACTCTGCAAATAGCACATCCTGGCTGACTTTACTTAATAATCTACTTAGGAACTCTGCAAACAGCACATCCTGGCTGACTCTACTTAATAATTACATAGTAACTCTGCAAATAGCACATCCTGGCTGACTTTACTTAATAATTTAATTAGTAACTCTGCAAATAGCACATCCTGGCTGACTTTACTTAATTTACTTAGTAACTGCAAATAGCACATCCTGGCTGACTTTACTTAATAATTTACTTAGGAACTCTGCAAATAGCACATCCTGGCTGACTTTACTTAATAATTTACTTAGTAACTCTGCAAATAGCACATCCTGGCTGACTTTACTTAATAATTTACTTAGGAACTCTGCAAACAGCACATCCTGGCTAACTCTACTTAATAATTACATAGTAACTCCGCAAATAGCACATCCTGGCTGACTTTACTTGATAATTTAATTAGTAACTCTGCAAATAGCACATCCTGGCTGACTTTACTTAATGACGTAGGCAAGGAAAAATGAACAAACATACTGAACACAGCAACGCAAAATTAAACATGCGACATGAGCAAAGCATCAACTGTCGGAGTAAATTAAGGTAGGCTGTTTGGGAAAAGGAATCCGTGGTAATCTGAAAGCAGGAGGCATGTTAGTGCTGAAATGTAGAACGTAATTAAGAGGAAGGGCAAGGCAGGTCGCGAGATGTCTGCCAGTACAAAATAAGGGTATACAATCGGCGTGCATATATAACCATTTTTACATTAAGAGAACGGAGGTGAAGCATAACATAATTATAACCAAATAAGTAACGTGAATAAACTGCAAGAGCCAAGTGTAAATACTGTAACCACTGAGGAAACTAAACTGCAAAGCTAAGCATAAACTACTGTAACTACCGATGAAACTAGGCAAATATGCAGGGCCAGGAGACGAGAAGCTAAAATAAGGGCCCGTTTTGCGAGGGCAGCGGCGAGGGCGGGCGGAGTGAGGCAGAGCCCCATTGTGCGCCCGTATTTATACGGCCCCAAACTGCCCGCGCAACGCCGCGGGACGCGCTGCGCAATTGTTTCTTTCTCCCCCGCCAGAAAAATCCCCGCTTGTGAAGCAGTGACCATTTCGTTCAAGTACACATTTTACTGTTGCGTTAAACAGAGGCTACAGTTAAGGAATTGCGCCCAGTAAATCCTCCCCGGCCAGGATACGAACCCATGACATAGCGCTCGCGGAACGCCAGGCGAGTGTCTTACCACTACACCACGGAGACTGTATATAAGAAATTCATAGTTTCTTTTTGCTCTCCTTATCTCTTTTTAACATTTCTAACCAGTTGTGTGAATTCTTGTTCTAAACTGACTTCCCCATTCTTAATCTTTTTGTACTAAGCTTTCTTTCTACCTATAAGGTTTTTCAGATCCTAGAACTAAACTAAAAAACTTCTGACAAATAAATAATTTTTGTTTAACAAGTTATCAAGATTTTTAAACATTTTTATTCGGGCGTTAGTTTATTCCAACATAGTTGCACTAGTTGCACAATTTTGGAATACGGTACATGAGTTGACCCAACTGAGAGGTCAGATTCCAGTGTGTCAGACAGATTTATGGTCGACGCTAAACTAATTTTGTTCTTGTTGTTGAAATATATACAAGAGTTGTTACATTCTTGTACAGCCACTAGTACGCGTAGCGTTTCGGGCAGGTCCCTGGAATACGATCCTCACCGCGAAGAATCATTGTTACAACCAAGTACCCAATTTACTGTTGAGTTAAACAGAGGCTACACAGGATTTGCGCCCAGTAAATCCTCCCCGGCCAGGATACGAACCCATGACAAAGTGCTCGCGGAACGCCAGGCGAGTGTCTTACCACCACACCACGGAGGAGACTAATGCATTCTTACCACATTTTAAAACATAATTTTTTCTGGGACATTATAATATCTCAAATTATTTATAAATAGAACTAAACATATATTTCGGAAAATCACTATTTTTGTTAGGCATGTAGACGGTAGATATTTTCCAGTGGCACACGTGTGACTCAAAGGTAAACATCCTAGTGGAGAGCTATCTGCTGTAGCCCAGTTCCTGCACCTGTGTGTGTAGCCAGGAGCCCAGAGGTCACTCCCACGCCCAGTGTAAAGGTTAGTGGACAATACTGTACTATGTAGCCCAGAGGTCACTCTTACTCCCAGTGTAAAGGTTAGTGGACAATACTGTACTATGTATGTAGCCCAGAAGTCACTCCAACGTCCAGCGTAAAGATTAGAGGACAATACTGTACTATGTATGTAGCCCAGAAGTCACTCCAACGTCCAGCGTAAAGATTAGAGGACAATACTGTACTATCAAAAGAAAAAAAATCAAAATGTTTATTTAGGTAAGGTACATACATAAAAGAGATTTTACAGAGAGTGATGGATTTATAGATAGGGCTAGTACATACAATGCCTAAAGCCACTATTACGCAAAGCGTTTCGGGCATAAAAAACTTAAATGACTAAAGCTTAATACTAATTGAGCATAAAGTGTAAAATGAAAACATGGAATGAAAACATAGCTGAAAAAGCAGCACAAATACAATTCTGTCGACAAACAGCGCTCTTTAAAAAAAAACAGACATTGGATGACATTAGAGGGGTAAGGTAGGTTACAGGGAATTTATTAGGTATAGCTTCGTTTTTATCTTAAACTGGTTGAGAGAGGTACAGTCTTTAACATGGTTGGGAAGGTCATTCCACAATCTGGGTCCCTTGATTTGTAGAGCATTTCTAGTTTGATTAAGTCGTACTCTAGGAATATCAAAACTGTATTTATTTCTGGTGTGGTGCTCATGGGTTCTGTTACAACCTTCTATGAAGCTTTTGATATGTAGCCCAGAAGTCACTCCTACATCCAGCGTAGAGGTTAGAGGACAATATTACCTGTGTTTACCTGGGGGTCCACTACTGGCCTCAATGAGTACAGGAAGCTGGCGGCTTGTCGAAGGTCTTCTCATTTACCTTGATAATCTTTTCAAGTTGGATTTTGAAATTCAACTGTCTTGGCATTTATGGCTTCGGCTGGTGGGCGGTTCCATGGGTTTATAACCCTTTGGGTGAAAAAAACATTTCCTGTTCTCAGTCCTATATTGTGGTTTGTTGAGCTTGAAAACATTGCTCCTTGTTTGTGTTACATTTGACCTTTTGAAGAAATTGTCTGGATCAACATCCTCAAATTGTTTAGTATTTTAAAAGTTTCAATGTGATCTTCCCTGTCAAGCCTGATTTGCAGTGTTGTTAAGAACACTGAGTCCTTCAACCGTTCCTTATATGAAAGATATTTACTTTTAAACATCTCTATATTTTATATTAATATATTTGACTATGTATGTAGCCTAGAGATCATTCCTATATCCAGTGTCAAGGTTAGAAGATAATATTGTAGTGTGTAGCCCCAGAAGTGTGCTTCTTCATGGTAAGTGCAGTTTGCGTGAAGGTTTCTCCTTCTGACAACTGCTGCCAGAGGTCACTCCTTCACTCAATGTCGATCTTGGAGGACAAGTGTGTACAATAGCCCACTATAAATGTATGTTCTTGAAAAGCTGTCCAACTTTTGCCTTATTTAAAAATAAAACCAAACAAGTACCTAATCTCATCTTCATAGTTTCCTACCTAGTACTTGAAACACTGTATCTAGTTCTACCCAATCTTCCAATATGTCTTTAAATCATACAACTACCATTGTAATCATTGCTATTATCTTATATCATGATTGTTATATTGAATGGATATTTTACTGCATTATACCTTAAAATAATCCTCAAATTATGCTACAATATACCTGTTGATAACCCTTCAATTATACTTTAATATACCTAGTGATTTTTGGCAATTTGTTTACAAAATGTAATTTTTATACTTTCTTACAATGTATCTTTTATACTTTCTTACAATGTACCTGTAAACATTTTAATTTTTGCTAGAAATTGCCTACTTAAAATTATTTGATAAATTAAGGACCTGCCTGAACAGCTTTGTGTGCTAGCGGCTTTACAAGAATGTAAAACATCAATGCTATGTACTCTCTTAAACCCAATTTACCATCTTGTTTATAAATAAATAAAAAATAAATAAATATGTACAGTACATTATTAGGTCATGGAGATGTATTCATTAACTACTGTACTATTAGATTGAGACTAGCATACCATTACCTGAAGTTGAAAAAGTGACATTGCTTTGTTTTCAGTAAGCTACTGTCATTGTCTTAAATACATTAAAAGCCTCTAGAGGCTAACATAGTTACTTGCCACCGAACCGAGGGTTTTTGAGCCTCAAGGTATGTTGAATCTGAAAATTGTAAATAAAACTGTATTTTAGGATGCTTATTTGACTACTAGAGTTCTTGTAAAATATTCAGTTACAGTTGGCATGCCAAGATGGCTTGTACATGAGCCACTTATACCACTAATGGGGCTACTACATTTTGTGATATCAGGCAAACTGAGATGGTATTTGTAATAATAATTTGTGGTTTTCTTGCCATACTAGGTGACAATATTTTGTGATGCATTTCTACTCCTTATTGGAATCTGAACCTATGTATAGGATTTAAAAAAATGTGCAATCATGTTGGAATGGCCAGTGATGAGAAAAGCAACTTTTTTAAAACACATCTTTGGTTTTAATTAAAATATTTTTCTGGTATAGGTTCTACATACAGTATACAATGGGGCCTAGACTTACGATGCTAATCCATTCCCAGAGATGGATCGTAAGTCGAAGCGATTTTTCCCATAAGAAATAAAGGGATTTGAATTAATCCGTTCCCCACTCTTCAAAATATTAACATACAAATACATTTTATACTGAACACAATGTTTTTTCTAACTACAATACAGTACCTAAGTTTATCTTGCCTTTATGGAGGGCTCTGGATGGCATATGGAAGATGTTGATGAGGGGGAGGAGGAGAGTTGTTACTGTTTGGAAGGGGAGTCCCCTTCCATTATCACATCAGGCAGTGATGTTTTCTCTCGGGTACTCACTCTCCTACGTTTTGCCTGAATACCACTAGGACCTGGTTGTGGTTCTGTATTTGTTTGTCTCACTACAAATTTGTCAAGACATTTGTTTTTCCCTTCGTTTAACCACTTTCTCAATGTTCCCACAGCCAAAGTAAGTTGAATTTGTTTTTTTTTTTTTTTTTACATGTACATGTTCAGAGAAGGAATTTAACATTTTACAAAGTTTTTTTTTCTCTCTCTCTCTTGCGAACATTTGATTTTCGGCGCACAGCCAGAATTTCACAATAAGCACAGCACATCACAGTGGTTAAGCAGGTGTCGAGGCTTCGGTCTCTTTTTGAATCCAGGAGTACAGGAGTTTGTTTTGATGCACTGACTTCCAGGTTGCCTTTCTTGGTGAGGTGGCAAATACAAATGTCATTGTTGCCTGTTCCCATTGTTCCCTTGTTCAACTCTGTCGCTGGTCCCCAGTTGATCCATTGAACTCGACAGCTGATGCGACCTATTAGATACTGTAGTACTATCTCAGTGTATAGTTTCAAGGACCCACAGGGGCTCACCCAGAAATTGGTGTTAAATTACATCCAACTCCCTCATTACATTCAAATCCCTCATTCCATTCAACTCCTTCATTTCATTTTGTCTTCTTTTTAGGTAAAACAAGGGATTTACTCTTTTGCTGAAAGATGGCATCAGTGAAACCAAAGATTATGGCCAAGTCTGTGGCTGCAGATGGGATAGCAGAGGTACAGCAAAAAACTTCTCCACAGAAGAGGAAGATTGAGGAAGACACCACAATGGATGTTGAACAGGTACTGTATTGTACAGTATTTTGATCAACTAACTAACAGTAGGTTCATTCTAGCTCATTAAGTGAAAGGAGAAAACAAACTTAAAATGCAAGTTTGATTAAGAATATTATTTAAGGGTGGAATTTCTGAGATTTTGTAACTTTTATAAATAATTGCCAGAATGCTTTTAAGTAAGGTCAACATATTACAAAAGAAAACAACAGTTAAAGTTGGCTCTTTAAGGCCAATTTATTCAACATTAGTATTATGTTGCATTTAGATAAAGTGATTGAAAACATTTGTGGAAAGTTATAATAAATGAAAAGGCATTTGGAATATTGTGTGCATTAGAAATTTTCCAATTTCTAATGCTCATGTACAGTGTATTTGTATTAGGCCCCCAACACTTGCCTCCCCTCCCTCTGCAGCTGTCCAAGTTATTTCACAGGAGCTGCCAAGCTTTAGGGAATGACACCAGGCCTCCAAGTCCCACTCAAGCTACCTGAGAGCCAGGACCAGAGTCTGGCTCTATGAGATGAAAGGAGGTTTGGGATCACAGATCACTCCAAACCTGAGAAAAAACCGACCTTATAATATAAGCATATAAGAACAAGCAACTGCTTTTAAGGAAATCTGTAACCCTGAGGGAAAGAAAATAAATAATTGTTGCTTTGTGGTAAACATCCCACAGTAAGGCAGTGGCCTTACTGCCACCATATGGCAGGCCGAGTCCCTGTCAGCCAGCCACTTCATTCATACAGCTTGTACAGCATGGGTTGCACCATGTTGTAGGACCCACATTCAACTTTGTTTTCAGATAAGTGGTGTTGACTATCTTTGAATGTTTTGTTCAAAAGAGGGCCATTGCTTTGTTTTCTGTAATTACTTAAGTGTAGATACAGGATGAGAGCTATGCTAGTGCTGTCCTATTTTTCCAGTGCTTGAAACTGCCCACAAATCAAGCCTGGCCTCGGGCCGGGCTTGGGGAGTAGAAGTGTCGGGTCGTCTTGGAGTGGGTGCGCTTGGGCGTGTTCATGAGGCCGGGCTTGGGGAGTAGAAGTGTGGGGTCGTCTTGGAGTGGGTGCGCTTGGGCGTGGTCAAAATGACAATGTCCCTCAGGCGGGTTTCCCACCTGTTTCCAGTTCCGAAATGGGTCTGTGCAGACCTACGGTTCATTCTGGACTTGTCCGGTCTGAACCCCTGGGTTTTTTACCCCTCCTTTCGGATGACCACTCTGTCCCGGGTCCAGCTTCTGTTGGAGCCAGTGCTTGGATGGTGTCCAGGGACGCATATTGACACATCCTGATTCATCCGGGGTTCAAGGACTGACTCAGTTTTATTGTGGGGTGTCAGAGTTACTGCTTTCGTTGTCTCCCGTTCGGGTTGAACCTGGCACATCGCGTGTTCACATGCCTTACCCGGGTCGTGGTGGCCCGTCTGCATCTGTTAGGTGTTTGGGTGTTGGCTTACCTCGACGACTGGCTGGTTTGGACTCCCAGTCGGTCCACGTGTCTGCTCGCCAGGGATTTGGTTCTTTCCCAGCTAGCTGGGTTTGGGTTCCTGGTGAATTGGCGGAATTCCCATCTGGTTCCCTCCCAGGTTCAGACCTGGCTGGGCCTTGTGTGGGACGCTCGGACTGCTTCCTTGTTTCTTCCTTTGGAGTCTCTCCTTCGGGTGCAGTCCCACATGCTTTGGTTTTTGAGGGGGGGCTCCCGGGTCACCCGGTGGTTGCTCAAGGGTCTATATGGGAGCCTGAACTTTGCGATGATGGTCTACCCATCAGGTCAGGTTTGGCTTCGTCGGCTGTTCTGGTTCCTTTGGGGACATTTCTTCTGCCTTTCTTGTTATTGCTGGGTTCGACCCCCAGGGGCCTTACGTCGGTTGATGCATCGCTGGCTTCCTCTTCGGGTTTTTTGGCGTTCAGTGCCTTGGCTCCTACCTGTAACCTCACTCAATGTCTTCATGGACACGTTGGCTCTCAGCTGGGGCTTTGTGACCAGTGCTCACCAGGCCGGCCAGGGGCGGTGGGGTCCGTCTTTCCGTCGGGCTCACAGCACGGTGCGGGAGTTCGTGGCTGTTGGTCTTCACTTCGGAGGGTTTGGGTCGCTCAGGGTTTGACCATCAGACTCCATTCAGACTGTCTCCGGTGGTTCATTGCCTGAACCGCAGCGGTCCCATCGGTCCTTGCCTCATTGGGGCTGGTCGCATCGATTGGCTTGTTTGCTGGATTCTAGGGGTTTGGCTTTCCGTGCAGTTCATATCCGGGGAGTCCGTTGTCCTGTCTCAGTTCATTCCTCTGTCCATAGAATGAACGGTCGCTGCCGACTCCTTCCATTGACTGCCGGACAACATACAGACCTCCGGAAGTAGGCCTCTTTGCATCGGTGTGGTCTCGGCATCTCCAGATCTATGTGGCGCCTTTCCCATCTGCGAGGCTGTTGCAGTAGATGCCTCTTGGCAGGACTGGTCGAGGTAGGGTTACCTGTACCTCTTTCCCCTGGTCTAGCTGTTGCTTTGGGTTCTGGCTTGGTTGGAGTCCTTCCTAGGAAGAGTTGCCCTTGTGGCCGCTTGGTGGCCGGCCTAGCCTTGGTTCCCAGGCGCTGCTTGCTCGGTGTGCGAACCTGGGGCATTTCCTGCGGCTCTGCCTATTACAGCAGGTCGGACCAATCCAGTACACAGCTGGTTCAGTCTTCTTCTCTGCTCTTCGCGTCTGGTCTTTTTGATGTGGGTTTATCACCATTTGTATGGTAGTCAGGTGACTTCATTGATGGTGTCCCACTTAAGAGCTAAAATTATGTTTTCTGGCGTATTTTCCACCATTTTCTTTCTCTTAGTGGGTTGTCTTCTCTTTTGGATCGGGTTGGCTTTCCAGGACTGTTCTTTGGTGTCTAATATTGTCGCCTCGTATCGTGCGGCGCTGGTGGGGCCATTCCAGTTTGCGTTGTCTCCTCTGCCCCGTTCCGTAAGTTTTCTCATGCTTTGTTTCCCTCTGGCCTGCTCATGTGCCGCCTGAGCCGTCCTGGTCCTTGGACAGGATGTATCTTTCTTCTCCTCGGTTTGTGGTGGCCCCTTCGGTTCAAGATTCTTTTTCTAAGGCTCTGTTTTTTGTTGGCTTTGGGTTCTTGTGGTGGGGTTGGGGAGCTTCCTGCTCTCCTCTGGCACAGGGATTTCTGCTCTTTTGGCCCAGGTGGTTGGCTTGTTAGTTTGTAGCCTTTTCCTTCTTTTCTTGATTTTAAGGTCGAACAGAGTCCTGTCCACCTTTTCTTTGTTTAACGTTCTTACTCCTGGGCATTCCTGTGTTGCTTTGAGTCGCAGTTTACTGCCCGTTGTCTCAACTTTGCGTTGAGGAGTTTGTGGTGGCCATCTCCTGGGTATGTCCCCCTCTTTTCCTTGTCTATGGTGATGTAGCTCCATGGGGGGCCGAAGAGGCTTCCCCACGGAAAACCTGCGTTGAATGCAATAAAATGCTATTTTCTGTGTGTGTCCTGGCTCTCTGGCAACTCTCCCTCCCTCCAGTAGGCAGTTTTTCGTGTTTTTCGTGTTTTTGATGCTTAGCTTCTGAACTGGAGGTCTGATTTGCCTGTGTGGAGGTCTGGGGCTCCCCCCCCCTCCAGTCCCCCTGGGAAGGGGAGGGCTGCGTGGACGAGTGGTGCAACGGTGGAGTGTGATGTTTGCATGTTTCCTTGGGATTAAAGGGAGCTCTACCTCTGTTCAGTTTTTACTTGTTAGTTTCTTACCGTGTAGGGTTTGTTTTGTTATGCCTACTGTGACGTAAAAGTGAAAGAAGAGAGCAGTGGCTATTCTGGCTGGTGTAATGCCAATCACATTAAATAAAAAAAAAATAAAGTAAATAAGACTGCTTCTGACCTCTTTACGGTGTGAGAGCTGTGCGTAAAGTCCAAAGAATGAAAAACTTTAAATATTTAATATAACAAAAATGACTTAAACAACAAATAAAACAATTCCCATATTCTACTTGGTGATTACACAATACAAAAATGCAAAAAGAAATATAAACATATCACAGTTACGTTAATGGCAAAGAAAGGTGCAAAACACAATATACAAAAAGCTGTACACATCTACAGTTCCCTGGAAAGGCGACAGTAGATGTTACGGCTGAGAGCACTTAAGAATATTCTGAGGTCTGGCCGGTGCTGAGCTGCTTATATATGCAGCCAGGCCTAGTGTAGATGGTGCTGGTGTGCAGGTAACTATCACTGGCAGTCTTAGACAAGTGGTTCAGCTGGTCGACCGGCGAGTGGAGTTGGCCCCAGACAGGTGTCTCGGGAATTTGGGGGTGGAGGGGGGGGTACCTGCTTGATAGGGTTCTGGGAGTTCTTCTACTCCCCAAGCCTGGCCTGAGGCCAGGCTTGACTTGTGAGTTTGGTCCACCAGGCTGTTGCTTGGAGCGGCCCGCAGGCCCACATACCCACCACAGCCCGGCTGATCCGGGTTGGGTTGGTGTCTTGTCTAGACACAGGCTTCTGAGCATGTATTATTGTTGTTAATTTCTTACACTTGAGTATGCAGATATGTTGTTGAATACGCAGTAAAGGAATAGGCAGGATCTCCTTGCCTAAGCAGGAGTTTACCGTAACACTACCTCTGGGTGCCTAACCCTAGTCGATGGCAGATAAGTAAAACCCTCAATCACAGGGGGGGTTTTCCAGGGCCATTGCTCCCTGAAACCTCTCTGAAGGGGCCAGGTTCTGGCGCATGGTCCCTGGTAGGTCGAACTCCATAGACTAATGCCCAGGTTTAATATATCACACATTAGCCCAATAGCTCCAGAGAGCCTCCTGGGCTCACCCAGAAAATGGTGTTTCATTACATTCAACACTGGTTTTTTGGATGGGGCAGGGATTCCTTACAATGGTGCTTCCACCTGGTGTGTGCTAGGAATACAGGGCTGTATAGGATAAAAACACACACTTATTTATTTGTGAAATTTATGTAAAGATTTTCACCAAGTCTTTTGCACTCTCCTTGGTGCTTTGCTACGGTCTTAGTACATGGTTAGGACGAGACTTACATCTCAACGATTAGTCATTGAGATGTAAGTCTCGTCCTAACCACGTACTTAGACCTTGACAAAGCACGCAGGAGAGTGCGAAAGACTTGGTGAAAATCTTTACATAAATTTCACATATACATAAGTGTGTGTTTTTATCCTATGTTGTTATCTCTGTGAGAATACATTACCATTACTTAACTGGGCTATATGTTATGGTTGGTGGTCACAAGTTTGACATCACAGGGCGTAATTATGCTGACTTGGTATTCTGGCTGGATTGATTTGGTCTCTGGTGATTCCCAACCACCTGTATATATATATTGCTATTTACAAGCTTAACATATATTTTCTTATTTCTCAGGATGATGCAGTAATTCGTCCATCTTTCCCTCCAGCCAAAAAAGAGAAGGTAGCTTTGTCAGAGATGAGGAAGATCCCTGTTCCAAACAACAGGTATGATATATTGCATAGCTTGAAATTGACTTGACAATTTGCATATGAATACATATATGATTAATGGAATTGTGACTTAAGATTTATGTAGTATGGAAAATGTCAATTAGTGTGTGTTGTGGTACTGGATTTTGAAAGTGAAGTTAAGAATTAGAGCCAGCCAGGGAACGAATGTGGCCTGACCTTTTAAGAAAAATAAGAAAGGATTAGATATAATCAGAGAGGTGCATAAAGGCATGGAAGTATCTACTGTTACCTTGAGGTGGTTGTGAGGATCAATGTCCCCATGGCCCGGTCTCTGACTAGACCTCCTGGTTGGTGGTCTCGTCAACCAACCTGTTAAGATGCCACTGCTAGCAGTTTGGTGTATGCATTACTGTACAATCTAGTTAATTAAGTATCCATGGAAGGTGTTATGAAGTTTCATTTTGAGCACTGAGAGGGGTAATCTAATTATGCCTCTTATGTTTAGAAGAAGGGTGTTGAAAAGCATACCAATTTCACCTTTACTTTTTAAATGGGCTATTTTGCACATTCTGCCTTTTCCTCTTGGTCTCATAAGGGAATATTTCCATGTTGGAGCCATGGCCTCTAATATTTTTAATTGTAAATTATTATGTATCTCTTGCCTGTGCTCTAACAAGTAGTTTGAGAGATTTTAAGAATTCCTAATAACTTAGATGTTTTATGGAATGGATTTGGGCAGTCGGTGTTTTCCAGCTTTGAATGGAGTTGTTACTTCACCTTAGATAGCACTAGTATCTTAAAGAGTACCAACATGGGTTTGGAGCATTTTGTTTAAAAGGTTGGTTGTTATGACCACACTTAGCCAGTAATTGGGTTCTTTCTATCGAACTTTCTATAGGGGGGCCTTAGTGCCTCTTCTTACCAGATCCAACCCCAAGTCATAGGTAAGTTATTCAGAACTGGCAGTAATAGTCACTCCAATGGAATGGGGGTAAACAACACTAAACAAAACCATCACCCATTTGTACCTCTTAACTATATACACTTATTACATATGTATATAACACTGCAGGTGTCACTTTCACATAGGACACTACATCGTCTAAGGCATGTCTGGGATCATCCTGGATGTAGGTTTGAACCTCATCATGGCCCGTGTGGATTTGTTCATTTGATTATCACGTTATTGTGATTTCTGTGAGTACTGAAGTAAGGGCGAAGAGGTAGACTATATGGTTGACAGAGCCCGAGTGCATGTGGGAATTGTGTGAAACCCCGGTTTGTGCTTCGGAGAAGCTGCGGGATCCTCGTGCAGCTTTAACCCTTGTGTGGCGCCGGTCTATTTAGCATTTGTCACCCACAGGCGCATACCAAAAAAAAATATATATATATTTTTTCTTCTAAACTTGTTAATTTGTGTTCTCTGATCATGGGAAAAATAATAAAAAAATCATAAGTGGCATATATTGCCCGCTATAGGGTGGGGAAGTCTGGCAAAATACAGGCGCTGACTCAGCGTGTGTCCCAGACGGTCTGTTGCTCGCCAGCTGTCAGGCAGGAGTTGCCACAAAGATATAATTACATAATTATTTCAGTGTGTCTGATTGATTTTAAGTACTGTAGTTTTTTTGCTGTAATATTATTCAATAGTGTGTAGTGTGATACATTTATATAATAAAATGAGTGAATCATCGCTGTATTCAAAAATATGGTGTGCATATTGTTAATTCAATTATTATGTTCATCAAGCAGTGAACAAATACTTTGTCGGTTATTACACTATATACACAGGTTATATATAAGTATCTGCATGTTTTGTTCACCATAACGAACCACTAAGTTGCTATTATGAGTCAAAAAGCAACGAGTAGTGACCGCCACACACCAGCCAGCCACTCGCTGTCACTCACTCCCTCAACACCTCACTCGCCCATATTCTCCTCCCGCCATACTGTTTTTGCTTTTATTCACAATATACAGACGTTATATATAAGTATCTACATTTGTGTTCACCATAACGAACCACTAAGTTGGCATGCTCAGTGGCAGTGCTACTTCCTCCCTCCTTCCTTCCTCACCCACATTCTACTCTCACAATACTGTTTTTGCTTTTATTCACTATATACAGACATTATATATAAGTATCTGCATGTTTTGTTCACCACAACTGTACAACTAAGTTGATATAGTTAGTTCAGGCATTAAGAGATGTCGCTACATACAGTCGGCTGGCGGCTGCCTTCCTCTCACATTCAAAATCAGATGCACTAAAATTTCACCCCCAACAATACTGTTTGTGGTGTTATTACCCTATTTACAGACGTTATATATTAGTATCTACATGTTTTGTTCACCATAACTGTTCAATTAAGCCGGTATAATGCCCAAAGAGCATAGTGGCCACCCCCTACCAACATGACAAATCATTCAGATGTTGCCACACCCATCACCAAAATGGCTTCTCCCCCCCCCCCCCCACTCCTTTTGCTGTTATTACACTGTATATACACGTTATATATGAGTATCTACATTCGTGTTCACCATAAAGAACCACTAAGTTGGTATGCTGAGTGGCAGTGGCAGCCTGCCACTGGTTGCCACTCCCTCCCTCCCTCACCTCACCTGACTCACCACCATTCTCCTCCCACCATACTGTTTTTGCTTTTATAGTGAGTCCAGACAGTAAAAGGTGGTCACACAGAGTCAGCAGACAATGCTACCTCCCTCCCCACCAAGATTACTCCTCCCACTACAGCGCTAATTATCACAACAATCCTGCTATTATCAGAATCCTGGTCATTTTTATCAGTCAGGGGTCTTCTGTAATAATATCATCGCTAAATAATAGCGTGCAAATGTATATTATGGCATTTTTAGGCGATGCTGTGGTCACAAGCTGAACAGCAGTGTTGTGAGCTCATGCTGCGTGCGTCAGGCTTGGTAGCTCACTCAATACTGAGGCCCCTTACACCCGGGAATTTGGCCCACGATTTTTTTTTTAAATGGCGTCTGTTTACAAGAGCCCTGATGAAGGTATGGTGAACCCCGTGTATCCGCGGGCTGTTTAAATCTTGCGTAATACTCCAATACATCATATGATGTGGAGCGCAAGTTACTGCAAGTCACTGAACACATCATATGATGTGTTGCGCAGTTAAAGGGTTAACTGAAACTCATATAAAGGATTTATACTCTGTAAGGAGTAAATTCATCTGGATAGACTCTTGTTTCAAATACCAAGTTACCTGTTACTTAGCAGTAAATAGATACCTGGGAGTTAGACAGCTGCTACGGGCTGCTTCCTGGGAATGTGTGTGTGTGAAAATTAGGATTAAAGACTTATCTGAAACGCTATGCATGCTAGTGGCTGTACAAGAGTGTAAAAACTCTTGTATATATAAATAAAAAAAATCAAGCTTAGATTAAGTTTAACGACATATAATAAATATATGGCACTTATTAATTGTTAGCATAATGTTGTGATTCCAGATCAAATGTTTTTAACTGTTAACAGAATATAATATGAGTATCGCAGTTATTATAATGTCTATGTTTCTTGTCATTTAAAAAGAAAGAGAAATACAACCAGCTTGTTGACAAGAACATTTTCCATGCATTAATGAAGAATTGTAACTTGAAGTTGGCCAGAAGTGTCGAGTCTTGGTGATAGGCCACAAGTCTACCAGGAAGTGATAGACCACAAGTCTACTAGAAAGTGATAGACCACAAGTCTACTAGGAAGTGATAGACCACAAGTCTACCAGGAAGTGATGTTACGCTGGCAGAGGAACTGGGTGCATTGTGCTACACCTTATCAAAAGAGCATTTAGTGTAGAATCATTATTTTTTCCAGATACACTCCCTTAAAAGAAAGCTGGGAAAAGATCTATTCTCCCATTGTTGAGCACCTGAAGCTTCAAGTCAGATTTAACCTAAAAACCAGGAATGTAGAAATTAGGGTAAGTGGCAAAGTTTTGTTTAACTGACATTTCATTGTATGGTGATTCATGCCATCTCATTATTTTTAATATTTTATCAAGTAAGTAAATGTTATAAGATGTTAGTTCAACGAGTGTATCATAAATGTTGTTCATAAGTGTAGAGTTAAGTAGCGACTTGTGGAAGGTGGCCCCAAGGGCAGTACTTACAGGGCACCTAGGGACTGTGACCCTAGGCGCATGCAGCAGAGTACTTGTGAAATTACTCCTGACTCGTGCACCACCAGAGAAAACAGCACCACACCACTAGGCACAGAGCTGGAGGGCAGGAAAACAGGAGCCAGTCACACGACCATTGCCAATCACATCAGCCAAAGAACTGGGGTGTGGATAGCTGGTGTAAGTGGTCTAGGGCTCCTCCTTTCCCACCCCGGGGAGGAGGGAGCTGCACAGACAAGCAGCGCGGTGACATGGTCATTTGGTCATCATGCTCATTTGCGGGGAGTTCTGTCTACTAGTTCGGCTTTCAGTAGCAATTCTTAACCAGAATAGGAGTTTGTTTTGGGGGCATCTACCTTTCTGGGTGCCTGACCCGGTTGATTGCAGACTAGAATGCTTCCAACCACACGGAGGTTTCAATAGGCTATTGCTCCTCATGCCTCTCTGAGGGGGCCAGGTTCTGGCTCATAGTCAGAGAGGCATGAGGAGCAATAGCCTATAGAAACCTCCGTGTGGTTGCAAGCATTCGCCGGGTCGGGTTTGGCTTTGTCGACTATTCTAGTTCATTCAGGGATGTCCCTTCCATCTCTCACAGTCTCTGGGTTTGGCCTCCGGGGCCTTGTGTCGGTTCAAATGTTCAAAATTTCAAGATCAAATGTGGAGAGACATCTACACTTGGCGAGTACCTATATTTATTGTTCGTACTGTTACTCTACTGTACCAATATTTTGTGCTCCAGTGCACAAGCCACCTCGCACTCCACACCTAGACATGGTTGGTGCCAATGGTACTGTTTCCATGTGAAGTGACCGAGGTAAGTAAAGTCGATAGTTATCACACTATCGCCATGGGTAAGTACGACAGTACCATTAGCACCAACCATGTCTTTGGTGTGGAGTGCGAAGTGGCTTGTGTGCTGAAGAGGGAGAACAGAGACTGAAGCACCTGTGCTAATGAGATAATGGCTCTGGGAGGTAAGATTGAACATGAATAAAAGTGAATCATCCAAGGTGGTGGGTGGGGTTACTGGCCGTAAACAGACCCCGCCGGAGCCGTTACCCGAAGAGAGAGACAGTTGGAGGTAGTTCCGGGCTCTTAGCTCGGAATTACAATTAGTGAGTGCATTTTACTCTGTGCTTACCTTGTAATCATCAAAGAAGGCCTCTACCTGTGCAAACCATGCCTCTGGGTCAGACAGAAGATATGCTGGTAGCTTGAATGCGGGCCATGGTTTGTTTACACCCTGTCTTGGGAAACACTAGTGTGGAATGGACTCTGGGGGTACCCCTTTAGTGCCCTAATATCCACCGGACAAGGGTTAAGCAAACACAAGTCTCTGATCCACACACACATATACATGTATTCTAAAACTGTACAAACCCAAGGAGGGTGTGAGAGAGCATCTGGTCTCATGTTTGTCAGCTTGTGCTCTCGCTGGTCGGTTGCCTTTCCTCTGCTCTTCTACCATTTTCCCTGATCTCTGCTGTGTTGTAGTGATTGAAGTCACTACACATCTAATGAAATAAAAATTTACCACTAGAAACATTTAACTTCTCTAATTGGATAATATTACATTATAAAAATGCTCTGTATCTGTCATTCTGAATATTGTACAGTAACTTTTATTTGAATTTAACAGACAAGTAAAGAGACTGAAGATCCAAACAGCATCCAGAAGGCAGCCGACTTCATACAGGCATTTGTTTATGGCTTCGATATTGATGACTCTCTAGCTCTCATAAGACTCGATGATCTTTATCTTGAGACTTTTGACATTAAAGATGGTAAGTTTATAGTATTAAGATAATTAAAACTACATTTTTGCAGTGATCTGTACCTTTACTTCATTCAGGATTGCTTAATGGAATATTACATTTGTTGATGTTTCAACCAGTATAATGAATAGTGACCAACAAAATATACAACTGTTCATCTGATACATACATACATACATATATATATGTCGTACCTAATAGCCAGAACGCATTTCTCAGCCTACTATGCAGGCCCTATTTGCCTAATAGGCTGAGTGATTTTTTCTATTAAAAAATCCAATTGGTTTATTTGAATTATTACTGTTATATTATAATAGGAACATAAATTATTGACTTAGTTATGTTAGTTTAGGTTAGGTTAAGATAGGTTAGGTTCGGTCATATATCTCTCTTAGATTTTACTCAAATTAAAAAAAATGAACTCATACATATTGAAATGGATAGCTTTATCATTTTGTTGGGACTGATTTGTACTAAATAGTGCCTAGACTGGTAAGTATTATAGACATCCAAGGTGATGAAATAAATTTTTATTTGATTCACAATCAACAGTGAAGCAGACACTGCAGGGTGATCATCTCTCGAGAGCTATTGGTCGTGTGGCTGGCAAAGGGGGCAAAACACGCTTCACAATAGAGAATGCTACACGAACTCGTATTATATTGGCCGATTCTCGTGTCCATATATTGGGCTCTTACCAAAATATCCAGATTGCCAGAAGAGCAATATGTAACCTGATTCTCGGTAAGATTTTTAGTAATTTTGTTGCTGAATAAACGGAAGATAATCTGTTGAGAAAAATGCTTCTATTTCACTTAAGCAATATAGTCATAAATTGTTTACATTTACAAATTTTTTCTTTTCAGGTAGTCCTCCATCTAAAGTTTATGGAAATCTAAAGGCGTTTGCAGAGAAAGTTAGAGATAGATTTTAGTGTTTTTTTTTACCAAGGAGCAAATATTTGTCTTTTCCAGTCTTCAGAATGGTTAAATTTTACAGTAAGTATGAGCTGTTGTAACCGATAAAACGTCTGCATATAGGAGAGGTACCATATTGCTGGTATTAAATTTATTAATATTTTTCACATAATAAAATTAAACTATTCAAGACAGATGTTCTCTTTGGGATTCTTAATTTCATTATAAATAGGAGAACCATTGACATAGCAAACATCTTGTTAAAATTCGCCTTTACTTTTAATTAAAATTCACGATGTTTCAAATACTTCTTGTATTCATCATCAGATCTAAAATACAAAAGTTAGATTAAAATAATCAGCAAAACAAAGAACTCATACTGGACAAGACTTAAGTGAGGTGATCAAGTTTGACTTTGTTCACTTCATGCAAGTTGAACCGAATGTTTTGTTTTGGAACTAATGTGCTGTTACATCTCTTATATTTTAATATGTCATCTTGTCCAATATGAGTTCTTTGTTTTGCTAGTTATTTTAATTTAACTTTTGTATTTTAGATCTGATGATGAATACAAGAAGTATTTGAAACATCATGAATTTTTATTAAAAGTAAAGACAAATTTTAACAAGATGTTTGCTATGTAAATGGTTCTCCTATTTACTATGAAATTAATTAAATTGTATTCTGCATTATATATATACTGTACTACAAATTTATATACAATATATCAGACTTTAAATTAAGAAATTTAGTTCACTAGTATACAGTAATGATAGTGTATCTTAAAAACATAAAGATCCTTATTCATTATAGTTTCTCATTTCCACACCATCATACTGTTTCCTTCGAGAAGTGATCCTACAGAGGGGGCCACATGTTGAAGCATCTGGCCTAGACATTTTAAATTTCAAGTGTTAAAACTTTCTTCAGGGCTTCATTTCCCTGCATAGCATGTGTCACAGGATTATACATGGTGCTTGGTGAGAATAAGTGTCATGTTCATAACCAGAATGTGTAAAAAGAATGGAGATCACACATGCATACCTGTGAGAAGTAGGAAGAGATTTGAGAAGATAAAGGTTCAAGAGAAAGAATGGGAAACTATGTAGTGAAAGAAGACTGAACAGATGGATAAAATGAAATGGCAAGTGTAGCAGGAGGTGAAAGAAACTCTGCCCATTTTGTTTCAGCCATCACCGGGGATTGAACCCAGACCCTAGGATTACAAGTCCAGAGTGCTGTCCACTCAGTTATCAAGCCCCCAACAGTGTTGTATATATATAACCCCCGCTTGTATAACAGTGTTATATAACTAGATATGAAGAGAAGCTCAAATATATTTAGTAGAAGTGATTAAATGTTGCCTTCTCTTTCTGATTTATGTAAAAAGGTGAACCTAAAGAACTTTAAACTTGCTTAATTTTCTCAAACCAGACTAGAATACCTGCTGTAGTGCTGACTACTAATGTAGTGGAAAAAATGAAACATTAAGGTTCACAATAACTACTCAATCATAAAAGACAATATAAATTCAAATTTTTATTAAAATTAAAATTGTATAAATATTTATTCAACATTCTGCTCTCCCATCCCAAATCTAATAAAATCTAATATTTCTATGTTTTCTTCTTGTAGCACTTCACCAACAGTCTTTGTAGGGTCCACGAGGAATTCTTGATGAACAAGAATGGTTTCTTCATCAGGGTTGGGAGCCTTTGGGTCAGATAATGTCCCAACTGTTTTTGGGTTCATACCTGAAAACAGTTATGTTATTGAATTATATATTTTCTTGAAGGTGTACAATTTCTCAAATTCCATCTAATCCTACTTACCAAAAAAAGATAATGTATACAAAAAAAAAAAAAAGCGAAAGTTGTAACTTTGTATATTGAACAGATTCACAGTATCAGAAGAAACTAAAGTCATTACACAAAATGTTATACAATAATTATATTACATTTTTTTTTTTTTCAAGTTTAGAGAGTGATAGGAAAGATAAAGGATCGCACCTATAACATGTATACACAGTTCTCTTGCAACCTCACTCAGCTCATGGGAAGTCTTCAGTGCCAGAATTACCCCAAACTTGCCAGTTGCAAGGTTCTGGTCTGGAGTGCTTGGGTGACTATAACCAACAAGATGAATTCCAGCAGACCCTCTTACTTGTACAGCACGAGACAGACTTATGTTCTCTCCAATACTGCCAATAGCAAGGGCTGCGACGTCTCCCAAGGTTTTACCCTCACTCGTTACCAAGGTTTTCAACTGCTCTTGTGATAACTTTGCCTAAAAGGAAAACAATCTGATATGGAATACTTTTAAACAATATAATTTGTCAACTTACTATTAGATAGCAGCCACAGATACATTGTACTGTAGCTTCCCCCACCAAGTACAATTCAGCTCATAAGGAAAAAACAAATTGAATATAATGAAATGTTAGTTTCTGGGTGAGCCCCCTGAAGCTATCATACACTGATCAGTGTTAAACTACTGAGTGTTATGAGTCGCAGAGTTCTATTTGCCTACCATGAATCACTTAACATTTAAATCTTTGCCACAACCTAGGAAAAGCACCCAGAAAGATAGGCGAATCAAAACAGATCACTCCATGCTTAAAAATGAGAACACAGCCCAAAAATTGCCGAAAGAACTCCCAAATAATGAAAACAACCAAAATTTTGTGAAACTAGCCCCCCCCCATTAATTTACTCAACCCCCCTCCCCCCTTGCTGGGGGAAGGTCAACCAGGTGCCACACAGGACACTTCTAGAATCATAAAACACACTAATGACCTCGGGGAGGGAGGGTGTCAGGGAGCCCCATCAGCTCCCTAAAGTTAACTACCCACGGAGAAGAACAAAAAGGACAGGGAGGGAGCAGTACTGCAGGTATCAAGTCAAAGGCGTGACCGACAGCCGTGACACATGACCCAAAGCTACACAAGGCCACAGAGGACCCAGGGACATTATCAAGATACCTGGAAGCTAAGACCCTGTTTGATTTCCAAAACCCCCGTGCTCGAATATTGGTCCAAGACATACTGTACAGTACTACTAAACACAGCTGTCAGAGCAACATACTTCCGGGCATCATGAGTACGAGGGCTTCATCGAGAAGCATATAATCTCCTCACACAACCAGACCATCACCAGAGACATGTTAACAAGCAACACTGAAATAATTGACAGGTATAACGACAAACAACAGAAGTCTGGATATCAGCGAGGCCTTACACATCAAAAAGTCAAAACCAGCAATCAACAACCAGTTAACACAATTACATTCTACCCACTTCAAAACCTCAAACCAACACAGACAGTAGAAGCAAGAACATAAGCTGCTTATGTTCATGCATGAATAGCCTATTAATATCCATTATGTTTCATACACTTGTTCATCTCAATCACGTCCTGTACCACCTCACCCCAAGAGAATATAAGCTCTTGTCAAAGCATTGTAAATTTGTCTTTGAAAATGTAAGGAGTGCCTTGCGAAACGCATCCCTAGGCGTCAGACCATAATAAATGGTTAAAAAAAAAAAGCGTTGAATATAATGAAACGCCATTATCTGGGTGAGACCCAGAGGCTCCCTGGAGCTATCCAGGCTGGTATGAGTCTATTAACTTTCTGGCATCAGTCAAAGTGTATGGAGTTCTTGCCTACTGGGGACCACAACCTAGAAACTGGCCCCTCAGAGAGGCACGAAGAGCAATGGCCTATAGAAATCCCCATGCGGTTGGGAGCATTCTGTCTGCCATCGAGTGGGCCTGGCACCCAGAAAGAAGCGCCCCAAAACATTCACCTATTCTGGTGAAAATATTGCTACCGAAAGCCGAACGAGTGGATAGAACTCCCCAAACAAAAATCAGCAAATGAGCATGACGTCAGCACGTTGCCGTGCTGCTGTCTGCACAACTCCCCCTCCCCAGGAGGGGGAGCCCCAGACCTGACAGGTATAAATTGACAGGTATAACGACAACAGAAAACAGGACATTAGCAAGGCCCTACACATCAAAAAGTGAAGACCATCAATCAACAGCCAGTTAACACATTATTACATTCTACCCACTTCAAGATCCTGTACAACACAGAGACAGCAGAAGCAAGAACAGGGATTTAATGGCCTATTAATATCCATTATGCCATTCATCCACTTGTTCATCTTAATCACATCCTGTTCCACCTCACCCCAAGCGAGTATAAGCTTTGGCAGAGCATAGAAAATTTGTCTTTGAAAATGTAAGGAGTGCCTTGTGAAATGCATCCCTAGGCATTAGACTATATTATAATGTGTAAATAAACTTTTGGAGAGTTAATTTTTCAACTTCCCTCGACAGTGAAGAAAAACATAAGAAATGTTGAGAAGAGTCTTGTTAGAATCATTAATCTTACCCGCTAGGTCATATTCAACAACATATGTTTATAAGACATACATACATACATACATATACATATAAATAAACTGAAAACTCACACCCTAAAAGTGACTCGAACCCATACTGCCAGGAGCATTCTGCAACTGGTGTACAGGACCCCTTAACCACTCGACCATCACCACCGGACAAAAGAGGTTGGTAGCAGAGGCTAATTCCCCATCCTCCCGCCGGCACTCAGATGGTAATCTTGGGCATGGTATCTTATCAAATCACCTCATTCTTTGGGGCACATGTGAGGAACACAAATGCGAACAAGCCTGAATGGTCTCCAGGCATATATGCAACTGAAAACTCACCCCAGAAGTGACTCGAACCCATACTGCCAGGAGCACTGCAACTGGTGCACATTAATTTTTGGTCCTGGTCTTTACAAATACTGTATAAATAAGAAATTAGATATTGCAATATTTCAAGTTGTATGCAGCTAATTTTATAATTCATGATTAATCATTGGCTAACTTGTGAATAAATGTTTTCTTTGATCACAACAGAGCCACATACACAATAACATTTGATACAGAAAATGCTAGACCACAGGAAACTACAGTATTAGCTATTAACAATAAAACAAGTCATGTCAAATGTTGCTAGTATTTCTTATTGATACAATAAAAATGTTTAAGTAAAGCAAAAATTATTACCCAAAAAATTTATTACCTTTGTTACAGCATGATTTAAAATTGAAGGTGTGGAGCTAATGCATTCCCTTGCTATCTGAGCCACCAAAGTCTTGAACGTGTCATTCCGGGCTACAAAGTCCGTTTCACAGTTGACTTCAACCATAGCACCTTTGTCCCCCTCAATATGGATGCCAACAAGACCCTGCGTTGTCTTGCGACTGGATAATTTCATGGCTTTTTCCCAACCTTGTGACTGCGCCTCAGCTTGTAACCAAGTTTCAGCCTAAAAAGACAATTATACAATATAACCCATTATGTAAAGTGTTGAGAAAGTCTTCCCATATATTACCAAGATGGAGAGATGTGGTGTGTGAGGAAGTGGAGGTCAAGTGTGAGTGTTGAATGAGAAGTGGTAGGAAAAACTTGGTGTTGTGAGCAAGTGAGCTCTCAGTGATATGTTGGAGTGTACTTGTGTTTGCCATGGAGTAAAGGTTCAAGATATGGTGAAGGCAATGCTTTATCTTTACCCTTCTTTTCCTATACAATACTGACTTATCTTCTCTGGGTTGATGCCTCCCCCACCATGAATGTGGAAAACATGGTGATGACACACTCATAATACATGTTCTATCAAGCTTTAATTGTTCAATAAAGAAATGCAAATCCAATACTTTTTAAAGTTCAACAAAAATATTTATTTCAAAACCATTTATTAAGTCATGATTGTTTATAGAATTTCAAACATTTCAACAACAGTACAGTACCTTCAAGTTCTACATTTTCATAGGAACAATTTAAACATTTACACCTGGATGAGGTCCTGAAAGTTCTACTCTCCAAGCCCGGCCCCGTAGCCAGGCTTGACTTGTGAAAGCTTGGTCCAACAGGCAGTTTCTTGGAGTAGACCACAGTCCAACATATCCACTGCAGCCCAGTTGGTCTGGTGCTTCTTGCAGAAAAGTGTCCAGTTTTTTCTTGAAGACTTTCACTTTAGTTCCAGGAATATTTTTTATACTTCCTGGGAGAGTATTAACCCCTGTACTACACAGCCTTCACACAAAACCCTGCCGTAGCGTACAAGAAAAAACCAGCATTGAATGTAATGAAACTCCATTTTCTGGCCAAACCTCAGAGGCACTCTGAAGCTATCCAAACTGATATGTATTCACCTAGTTGTGTTTGCGGAGGTTGAGCTTTGCTCTTTCGGCCCGCCTCTTAACTGTCAATCAACTGTTTTACTACTTTTTTTTTTCTCTACACCACACACACACACCCCAGGATGCAGCCCATGACAGCTGACTAACTCCCAGGTACCTATTTACTGCTAGGTAACAGGGGCATTCAGGGTGAAAGAAACTTTGCCCATTTGTTTCTGCCTGGTGCGGGAATCGAACCCACACCACAGAATTATGAGTCCTGCGAGCTATCCACCAGGCTACCATAATTTAGGGACCTGGCCCTCCCGTACTTTCCACGTATATATTATATGATGCCTCTCTCGTAAGAATCTGCATATCATACTGGCTATTACATGTATACAGCACGTGCCAAGTTTCTTTTTAATATTAACAGCCAATAAAAGTCAATATTATGAGAAGGCAGCAGACTGCCAACTGGCCTTACAGTATTACATTGCATGGAATATAAATACATTCTTGGAACACCCTAACAGGTAGTATATAACAACAAAACACTTACCTTTTCAAAATCATTGTTATGCATTTCCAAAGCTTTCTTGCAATTACTAATGGAGAAGCCAGTTTGTTTGCGGAGTTTTGCCAAATGATTTTTGTCAACTGCAGACAAAGCCTTGTACATATGAAGTAGCTTCTTGTCTTTCGTTTGGTACCATTTCAACTCCTATAGAAGAAAGGAAAGGAACTATCAGGAGAAAGCACCAAGCCATTATGACAATATAGCACTGGGAAGGCGGGTCAGGATAAGGATTTGGAATGGGACAAGGGGGAAGGAATGGTGCCCAACCACTTGAATGATTGGGGATTGAATGCCAACCTGCATGAAGCAAGACCATCGCTCTACCGTCCAGCCCAAGAAGAACATCTTTATTAGAAAAATGTTTATTACAGTGTTCAAAATTTATAATTAAACAAAATAATCTATTATTAGTTATGACACAAAGGTTGACACAGATGAATTAAACAAAATCTAGCACATTTGTTCTAATATGGTGCAAGATATCATGCTTATCAAGTTTGGTACAGTGCATCCTCACTCTAATCAACCCCGTTCTATAAAATTCCCGGATGATCCAAACAAATTGAATTTGGTATCAAATATTCAGTGGAACATACAAATGTTCGATTAAGCGAGGATTGTTCGTCCAAGTGGTCACCGAGACCGAGCGTCAGAGGTGGCTGTCATCAACTATGATTCACCAAAGTGTAAACAGTGATTTATTGTACTTACCCATTGTTTCTAGGAAGTAATTGAAGGATGATAAAATGATGTCAGGGGTCATTGGTGAGGAGTTGTCAGGGGGCACGTGATGTCAGTAGTTAGGGTTTATTGTCAAGGGGGGGGGGGGGGCAGGTGGTGGAAGTTATTCTCATGGGAGGCAGGTGAAGTTGGTAGTGGAAGAGGTCAGAAAAGACTGGTGGTGTCAGTGGTGGAAGTTGTCAACCAGGTATCAACCAGGCAGGAAGTGATAGTGAGGTCAGGGGAGGCAGGTGGTGTCAGTGGTGAGCTCTGGCCTGAGATATTTGCTAATTGGCAACACGTGGCTGCCGCCTCGACTCACTGTCTGCTTTTCACCAAATTAGCTGAGAAAATGTTGCCATTTCAGTTGTTTGTAACACATCGCTCAATTATAAAGAGCAAACCAAACAGAAGCAAACAGATGTAATAGAACCCATAATCACCACACCAGAAATATCTTCGATATTCAAAGAGTCAAACTTATTCTGTGTAAACACTATGCAAATAAAGGGACCTAGTCTATTGAACTCACTCCCTAATGAATTGAAAAGCTGTCCAACTTCTGCCTTATTAAAAAAAATTAAAAAGTACCAAATTTCATCTTCATTTATTTATTTATATACGAGAAGGTACATTGGGTTTGTGAGGATTCATAGTACAGTATGGTATTTACATTCTTATAAAACCACTAGATTTGTGATTTGCGATTGCAAAGTGATTTGTGCAGCATTTCAGGCAGATCCTTAACATTATCGCGCCCTAGGCATGCGCGCTACCAACTTAGAGGTCACGCACCTGACATGTGGGCAAGCGCAGAGCGACATTGAAATGTGTATATTTGTTTCAGTTTTCAAACCTTAATTCTCGTGCTACGTCGTTCGTTTTGGTATCATTGTGTTCGCAATAGAATTCCCTACAGTTGTATATGCATATAATGTCCAAAAGCCTGGTGTGACTCCCAACAGCAAAGCCTAAAGTCAGCAAAAGTTACCCATGAGCGCACAAAATCAGTAAAATGTGTATTCGCACTTCAGTTTTGTCACCTTAATTCTCGTGCTACGTCGTTCGTTTTGGTATCAGTGTGTTCACAATTAAATTCCCTACAGGTGTATATGCATATAATGTACAAAAGCCCGGCGTGCCTCCCCACAGCAAAGCCTAAAGTTACCCATGAACGAGCACCAATTGGCACACTGCAACCTAATGTGTATACTCGTTCAGTTTGATAACATCAATTTTCGTGTTACGTCTTTCATTTTGGTATCAAATTGTTTGCAATAAAAAGGCTTGTATTTTAAAACTAGTCCTATAATAGTAGAGCAATGACTGGAATTTTAACAAATATTTTAATTCTGGAAGCTCATCATCACAAAATTATTTATATCTTTCCAGTGTTCTGACATAATTGTTTGTGTTACATCTTTCATTTTGTTACCAAATTGTTTGCAATGTAAAGGTGTACATTTTAAAAGTAGTCCCAAAATAATAGCACAATAAATAGAATTTTAACAAATATTTTAAAATTTTGACCAAAAACGTATTTATAATCTTTCAAGTGTTCTGATATCAGGTTTCGTGTTACATCTTTCCTTTTGATATCAAATTGTGCGCATTCTAAAGGCTTCTATTTTGAAACTGTCCCGAAATCAATCGGATAATAAATGAATTTAATACAAATATTTTTGTAATGGACGCGAGACCTGTCCACGGCTAGGACTCAAGAGAAAAAAATGGATGTGATTGGTGTCCAAATCGAGCAATAGTGTTAAACTAACAGATAATTTTAAGTAGGTAAATTCTAGCAGAATTTATAATATGATAACAGGTACATTGCAAGAAAAAAAATCATAGTTTCCTACCTAGTGCTTGAAAATCTCACTATATCTAGTGCCACCCAATTCCCCAATATATGTACCCAAGCCATACAACTTTACCATTGTAATCATTGATATCATCTTTTATCATGGTTGTTATACCGAATGAATCTTTTACTGCATTATACAATGAAATAATCCTCAATTATGCTATAATGTACCTGCTGATAACCCTCAAATTTTACTTTAATGTACCTATTAATCTTCGTCAAATTTTCTTACAATATTCCTGTAATAATTTTTTGTGCCCAATCATGTCAAAAATTGTACCTCTCTCAACCAGTTTGAGATGAAAACTAAGTACTACCTAATTAACTCCATGTAACTTACCTTACTTCTAAATGTCGACCCATGTCTTACTATTTAACAAAAAAATGCTGTTTGTTGACCAACTTGTATATTGGCTATTTTCTACCATGTTCCCCCTTTTTTTATCTTTTATTATCTTTTTTTCAATGCAATTTATATTTTAAGCTCAATTACTATTAAGTTTTAGTCTATTAAGTATTTTTTCCCCCACCTCTCCTCGCCCGAAACACTATGCGTACTAGTGGCTTTAGGTATTGTATGTACTACCTCTATCTTTAAATCTAACAGAATGTTTGTACTGTAACTCTGCAACTATGTATGTACTTTTCTTAAATAAATTATTATTATTATTATATATGTAAATAAATAAATCAGTAAAATAAATAAAATAAATAGCAGGAGCAATGGGTAGTGCAAGGGCATGGGAGGCACTCTTGTATACCATAGATGGTATTTCACTAATGTTCCCAGCTTGGGCTGGACGGTAGAGTGACGGTCTCGCCTCATGCAGGTCGGCGTTCAATCCCCGACCGTCCAAGTGGTTGGGCACCATTCCTTCTCACCCGTCCCAACCCTAATCGTTATCCTAATCCCTTCCTTCCCAGTGTTATACAGTCCGGATAATTCCCTCCCTTCCAGCTTTGGTTTTTAGTGAGTGATTTGCTATGTTATGCTTTAAAGGTACCATTTGCTGCTGTATTTACTCTCTCACTCACTCTAAGTAGAGGTATCCGAGTTATCCATAGCGACGACATGACGAGCCAGGTGAAGGAGGCTTCAGACGCCGGGTGTTGTGGCCGGGCAGTAGACGACGCCTCCACAGGGGGGGGGGGTCATCCCAATTGCTAAGAGTAGCGACTAGCGAGTTGACGGTCTAAAAGTAGCGACTAGCGAGTTGACGGTCTAAAAGTAGCGACTGGCGAGTTGACGGTCTAAAAGTAGCGACTGGCGAGTTGACGGTCTAAAAGTAGCGACTAGTGAGTTGACGGTCTAAAAGTAGCGACTAGCGAGTTGACGGTCTAAAAGTAGCGACTAGCGAGTTGACGGTCTGAAAGTAGCGACTAGCGAGTTGACAGTCTAAAAGTAGCGACTAGGGAGTTGACGGTCTAAAAGTAGCGACTAGCAAGTTGACGGTCTAAAAGTAGCGACTGGGGAGTTAACAGTCTAAAAGTAGCGACTAGCAAGTTGACGGTCTAAAAGTAGCGACTAGCGAGCTGAACTTGAACTCTGTGTGTAGTAACAGTAGTAGAACCCAACTCAATGATACTTGCTATTTCATCAAGTTTGTCTGAGAACTTTAAACTAGAAAAGGTCTGCCCCAAAAAATTATAATTTGTAGGTTGCGAACACGTCTCCTCAGCTCTTTTATCTTCCGCAAAACCTTTCCTCCTATCTCAACCCTATTAGTTCATGGTCTAGTGTTTCACCTTTTTGTTTAAAACTAAATCTACACATGCGATATGAAATGTGAAAACAACTAACTCTAAACTCATTACGGTTGAAATAAATGAAAACCTAATCTGTGTGTATAAACGGTGGAGAGCCAGAAATAACGTGTTGGTGTGAGTTATATATCATAAACACAAATAAAAAGCTCTGGCGGTGTGATCATCACATACTTGCTTCTTATAGGAAATGATGGGGAAGGTGAAGACTGTTTATTAAACACATAAGGTTGCCTTCTCTCTCTCAATATAGATGTGTGATGGTGGAAGTATTTAAAAAAAAGTTCCTTTATGGTGTAAAACAGAGAACGAAATGGTAGTGTCATATGTTTTCGTCTAGTCCAGCTAATAGCTATTGTTACATTAGTCTTATATGTTATGTTTACTTTGCTAACAGCGCAATGCTTGGAATGTGTATGTGGGGGAACATGGCTCACCTATGGGAAGAACGATGTTGCGTGTTGAGACCTTTAAACCTAGTCGCCCAGGCAAAACTTTTAAAGAATGAATGACGCGTTTTGTGGTGGAGTGGAGTCAGACCGCAAGTGTTTGCTGACGCGGTCTGCCGTCTCAGCGATTTGCTGAGACACGCTGTTTATGCTGGGTTGGAATGTATGTAGGACCTTAAAACTAAGCTACCTAGCCAGCTTGAAAGTGTAAACTGTGATGAAAAACGCTTAGTAATATCATTGGATTAGTGATAAAAATGTAAACGGTCTAACCACTTTTACTGTCCTAATGAGCGGTCATCTCGCGAGATGGAGAGAGAGTGGTGGTGCTAACAAGGTGATAGCAACACTCAACGCTAAATGGCTCAAGGACATCCTGGGTCATTATTCTTATTCTGGTTGTACATAAGCTAATATCTTCGATTTCAGGGTGAAAGGCTATATGCTCAATGATAAACTGTCTCAGGTTTTTAAATCATGTTGATCCTAGCAAATTTGACCAGACTATTTCACTATTGTCTCAGCTGGGGAGATGCTAAAACAAATGTACACACAAGAAAATGATTCCCACATTCACTAAACACTTATTGATTTGACTGCGTGAGATAACAACAACAACATATAGTCAGCCTTGATGTTAGCATGTTATTATTACTTTTAAGATGTAAAACTTTAAAACTAGAAAATGATTACCACATCCAGATAAACGCTTACTGACTCGACTGAGTAATGCTAAATGCGACTTGACTGAGTGACTGACTGCTTTTACTTACTCTTAAAAGTTAAATGAATCAGAAATATTTGTTAACGCCAAGTAAACAGATGCAACAATTGAAAGGAAAACGCTTCATCAAGTCGGTCTGAGAACTTTAAACAAAAACCCTTTTGAGATGTAAAACTTTAAACTAAACTAGAAAGCTTTACTTAAAAGTTAAATGAATCAGAAATATTGTTAACGCTAAGTAAACAGATGCAACAAGTGAAAGGAAAACTTTAAATCAAGTCGATCTGAGAACTTTAAACTAAAAAAAAAACTTTTAAGATGTAAAATTTACGAAACGGCATTGGCAGAACCTAGGTCTTAGCAAATTAAGCTAACTATTTCACTAATGTTCAAGCCGGTCTTATTCTCATCGGTTGCTGTTTACATTTAGGATAATGTAGGTCTTAGAGCGAGCCTTGAACTCGGCGATAATGAGCAAGTTAATTTAAAATATAATATCAAGGCTATGATTTTCCACGTTGACCTGAGAAAGGCCTTTGACACTGTTAATCACAATTACCTCTTACGTAAACTCCATCATTATGGAATCCGAGGCCATTCACTGTACTATATCCAATCCTATCTTAGTGATAGACACCAATGTGTAACCATCAATAATATAACCTCTCCCACTCTACCAATAACCGCTGGAGTGCCACAGGGCAGCATCTTGGGACCTCTCCTATTTCTTATATACATCAATGATCTGCCTAATGTCTCTAACATTCTGAAACCTATTTTGTTTGCTGATGATACTACCCTCATCTACTCTGACCCCAACCCACATACACTAAATGATGTTGTTAATAATGAACTATAAAAAAGTCCACTTATGGATGTCAACCAATAAACTAACACTTAACATAGAAAAGACCTACTACATTTTATTTGGATGCAAATCTACAAATGCAATTCAGCTTCAGATATTGCTAATGTAAACATTAGCAATAAAAATGATGGAAAGTTTCTTGGCCTATTCCTAGACAAGAGACTCAACTTCAGCACCCACATACAACACATAACTTAGAAAGTCTCTAAAACAGTTGGGATACTCTCCAAAATCAGATGTTATGTACCTAACTCTGCTCTCATTTCTTTATATTATGCACTAATCTATTCCTATCTTAATTATGGTATCTGTGCATGAGGTTCAACCACTGCAAACCACCTCAAGTCCATTATCACCCCGCAAAAATCTGCTATCAGAATAATAACAAATTCTGCTTTCAGACAACACTCAGCCCCCTTGTTTAACTCCCTTAACATGCTAAACATAATCGCACTCCACAAATTCTCTTGTGTCAACTACATTTACAAAACCCTGTTCTTAAACGCAAATCCTGCTCTGAAACTCTCCCTGGACAGATGTAATAGGACCCATTATCACCACACCAGAAATAAATATATCTTTGATATCCCCAGTCAAACTTAATCTGTGTAAACACTATGCAAATAAAGGGACCCAGTCGGCCGAGCGGACAGCACGATGGACTTGTGAACCTGTGGTCCCGGGTTCGATCCCGGGCGCCAGCGAGAAACAATGGGCAGAGTTTCTTTCACCCTATGCCCCTGTTACCTAGCAGTAAAATAGGTACCTGGGTGTTAGTCAGCTGTCACGGGCTGCTTCCTGGCGGGTGGAGGCCTGGTCGAGGACCGGGCCGCGGGGACACTAAAGCCCCGAAATCATCTCAAGATAACCTCAAGATAACCAGTCTATGGAACTCACTCCCTAATGAATTGAAAAGCTGTCCAACTTTTGCGTCATTCAAAAACAAAACTAAAAAGTACCTAATCTCATCTGCATAGTTTTTTTTTTACCTTGTTGCTTTAAAATTGCATTGTATCTATTGCTACCCAATCTTCCTATCTTTATGTACCCAGTCCGAACATCTTTACCATTGTGATCATTGCTGTCTTCTTATATGTGCTATCAATCTGCTGTACGGTGTCTGTTAATCTTGTTTAAATTACCAATCAAGTTGTCAATGTAATCAACCGGAGCTTTAATATACCAATGTGCTTTAATATACTTACTATTCCCTCTCATCTCATTTTTTTCTTGCAATGTATCTGTTATTTTATTAATTCTGCTAGAATTTACCTACTTAAAATTATCTGTTAGATTAAGGACCTGCCCGAAACGCTGCGCGTACTAGTGGCTTTACAAGATTGTAAATACTATGCTATATATTCTCTCTAACCCAATGTACCTTCTTGTATATAAATAAATAAATAAAATAAGTGAAGACTCACTTGCACTCTTCCTAGCTAGGGCTTCCGTCACCCGCCTGTAACACTGTGCGTGTCATAGTAGCTTAGCAAGAATGTAAAAACGCCAATATTATGTACTCTCACAAACCCTTTGTACCTTCTTGTAAATAAATATATAAATAAAATAAAATAAATAAATAAAATCGCAATTTTTAACTAATATTTTTTCATGTTTAAATTTATTTTTATTAAAATAAAAATGAAAAAATACTTATTACATTTTTTCTCACTGTTTGATAAGCATGAAACCTTTGGACGGGTCCCACATTCAGCGGGAACTGGGGTCCAGCTCCACATTCAGCGGGAACTGGAGTCCAGCTCCACATTCAGCGGGAACTGGGGTCCAGCTCCACATTCAGCAGTAAGTGGGGTCCAGTTCCACATTCACCGGGAACTGGGGTCCAGCTCCACATTCAGTGGGAAGTGGGGTCCAGCCCCACATTCAGCGGGAAGTTGGGTCCAGCTCCACATTCAGCGGGAAGTTGGGTCCAGCTCCACATTCAGCGGGAAGTTGGGTCCAGCTCCACATTCAGCGGAAACTGGGGTCCAGCTCCACATTCAGCGGGAATTAGGGTCCAGCTCCACATTCAGCGGGAATTAGGGTCCAGCTCCATATTTAGCGGGAATTGGGGTCCAGCTCCACATTCAGTAGGAAAAGTGGTCCAGCCTCACATTGAGCGGGAACTGGGGTCCAGCCCCACATTCTGCGGGAACTGGGGTCCAGCCAACCTGTCCTCTTAAAAATAACGTCGATTTTAGCCGTTTGCCCGTATGGCGGAATTTGGACGTAATTTGAAAATGAAAAAAATTGAAAATAAATTTGGGATATTTTTTTTCAACAACAGTAAGTTAAGGGTCCTCTGATAGGTTAGGTGGGCAGGAAATTCTCATAGTCTCAAAACGTTATGAAAAACGTGAATTGAAAGTTATCTATTCTAA